AAGTATGTACTGGAAAGCAGTGTACATGGAAAACGAACTGAGGAAAGCTTATGTTTCTTTGTTCTTTTCCTGACACTTTCTTTCAGATCGTGAAGAATTTCTCCATTAGTGTCACTGATAGGAATGATAAACCATACTCCATAAGCTTCTCATCGAAAAATGGTCCAGCGTCATTCCCTGTGGACCATCCAGAACTTCCAGAAAACACCAAACCCGGAACTGTTGTTGGTACTATTGAAGGTACAGATTTGGTAAGTATACATCATTAAGTCAGTAGACGAATAATAGTGAGCCCGTCATAACCGAACGCACTTGATGCAGCGGAAACTGTCCTGATGTGACATTCCGCTTGGTTCAGGGATGCACATTCCATCCATAGCAATTCGGCACATGTACATAATTATAATCCTTGGAAGGGGAAAAACTTGCAGTGCCCATTGGATACGCCTTCTTCTTCTCTTTACCTAAGTTTACAGTTTTGTCCTTGACATCCCTGTAAAACAATAGTGGACTGTTAGTTAACATGTACAGTTATGGCCAAAGAATTCTCTTTGGCCATAACTGTCGTTACCGGAGGGATCACAGAGTGACCTCAGGATATCAGCCTACGGTAGAAGAAAAATACGACCTTCCTTCTATGAGGGGTGTATATATTTCCTTGTAAACTTAGCCTGAGCTGTCCCTTTGTTCTCTGAGCTGTCCCTTTCTTCTGTTCTGTTTTGTACTACCTATGTCCAGCATAAGCGAATGTGTGGGCTGAGCAGACGAAATAATAGAAATAAATTTTAATGATAAACTTAGTGTCCGATGTGTGTGATTGCTCTGGTAGACCACTACCCGGCCCATGTACTGAACAGTTGCTTTGTGAGTGAAAATAATAATAAACTTAGTGTCCGAACTCCTTGTTTGATGCTGTCAATGGTTCTATTTGCAGGATGCCAACCCTCAGAAGCTCACCATCTCTCTGGATAACAATGCTGGCAATCGCTTTGCTGTTTCTTCAACATCATGTACATTTGTAAGCAATCATATACCCTAGCCGTGCCTTTTGCCATGGTTTGTTTTCTCTGTTGTTGGCTGAAGTGTGTGTTCCATTCCTCAGGAAATGGTTGCACAGTTTCTTTTCATATGACAATCTGTACATCTTCACGACACTCTCTAAACGGTCTCTTGGCTACACCAATCAATAGAAGAAAAAAGAGATAATTATTTGAATTTTCGGGAAAGGCCTGAAGATGTGCCTTGCCCGAAAATGCGAACGGTTATCTTGTTTTCCCTTTTATTGATTTGTGTAGCCTAGAGACTGTTTGGAGAGTGTCGTGAAGATGTTGTGGATTGCTACAGTGGTGTCTTCGCACTTTGAGATATGACAATCTGGTTAAATTATTTCTTCGTTAAAGTGCTCTGATATTTGAAAAGCATGAAGGGCAGCTAATGTGGTCTCTCATAATATTGCTTGACCTGCATCTGTACCTGTACGTGGTGAGTTACAAATAGGAAACATGTAAAGATGATAATTATAGACATTTTTAAGAAAGAGCCGTACCAGACACTTTACTGTTGGCCAGCAAAGCTTTGACCGCCTAGTAGCGCACATTGGGTTGCAACCGTTGGTTTGAGACCATGATTAAGAAGCGAGCTGCATCTGGTTCAAGTGCTACCTGGGAGCAACTCAAGTTCCTGCTTTGCTGCTTCCCACAGTCAGCCGGGAGAGATGTGGCGAGGCACCAAGGGGTACATGAATATGTCTAATGGGGCTTTCAACACTTGTGTCAGGTGGTTGTGAAACTAATCCCGGGCTCACCCCACCTTCGGGTGCTGCGTTTTCCGCTTGCTCAGTCCAGTGTGCTCCGATCATGAGTTCTCTTGGCACAAAAATTAACTTTTTACGGTCTAGTTATCACTGAGTTGGCTGTTGAATATGTTTCTGTGTATGCTGTTGAATATCTCTTTGCAGACATCCTCAAGCACATGCACAGCAATGGTGACAGTATCGGGCAGTTTGGATCATGAAGACTCGTATCAACATCAAGTTGTAGTTCGGTTGACGGATCCGGGTGGATTGTTCAAAGTCAAGAAATTCACCGTCAAGATATTGGATGTCAATGACCCTCCTACGGTGAGACACTTTGGTTGTTGTAGTGCTGAATTGTAACCAGACAAATTGTGAACAGCACCACATAAGGCCATGGGCAGCTTGTGATGTTCTATTTAGACCACAACAGGGCTGTAGGAAAACCACTGCCACACAAGGTTATTGTCTTGCACGAAGATCCCCCTCCTCCTCTGTATTGAAGTACACCTGGATGTACACCATCAGCTCATATTTTCTCGTTTCTGACATGACATGTCTACTGTTTGTACTGTGCAGGATATTGTGTTGTCAAACGATGATATAGCAGAGAAGAAAGCAAAGAGTCTTGTTGGAGTTCTAACCGCTAAGGATCCTGATCTTGGTCAAACTTACACCTACACGCTAGTCAACAATGCCGGTGGAAAGTTTATGGTAAGGCGATTTTGAAGATCTTTGATTCTCACATGTGAAAATACGGGTGACACAGGTGGAGTCTCGATAAATCTAGTCGCATATTGTAAGGAAAACTAAAAAAAATGCTGACATTGTCAGACAGAGTTTCAATATGAACCACAGACGCAGATGCAACCTACTCGAAATAGATCAGTAGAGACTGCTTGCTCACGATGAGATGGCTTGCTTAGTGTGTTAATGGCTCGAGTGCGGTTTGGGACACAGAGTCGACTTGTTGATCTTTCACCCCATGTTCACATGTGATTGTGCTGACAATATTTGTTTTTGACTGCATTCGTTTCACTTCATCTTAGATCTCTGGCAATGAGCTCAGAACAACTGGTGCTCTGGACTATGAGGCATCACCATCATTGACAATCCGTGTTCGTGTGACAGACAGTGGCAGTCCAGCACTAAGCTATGAGAAGAATTTTGTTATCACAGTTATCGATGTGAATGAAACACCTACAAAAGTGCAATTGTCAAATTATCTAATCAATGAAAACCCCAAAGTGGATACTATCGTTGGAATGATTACAACCTCTGACCCGGATAATGCCAACAAGGTATGGCAGACATTCAGCTACAAACTGATTGACTCTGCGCAAGGGATTTTCAAGATTGAAGGAAACCAAGTGAAGGTAAACAACTAGTTCTTGGAGGAGATCCATAGTAGCATGTTTGACATTGTGGACTTCAGTTATCATAGTTGTGTGGATACTTGTAAAGTTCTTTTTGCATCAAAGTTGCAGACGAGTACCTTGGAGTGGTTTAAGGTGCCGTAACTCTACTTTCTTCACCTGCTCCCAGTCAAGTGCATTCTCCACACGTATACAATGGACGACGATAACTGAATTTAGAAGACTCTATTTGTGACAAGATGACAGAAACACAACTAGACATGACGAACTCAAGAAAAAGACTGCTTTTCACACCACAGCAACATGCGCATACACCAACAACACGTACACACGATGTACTCAAAACAACGTACTACAACATAACTCCCTCCCAAGAGTAGAATCGGCCTCGATGTTCTCCTTCTTAACAGAGGAAAAGGATGAACAGATAACTCCAATCACTCAATCATGCCATACCAGTCACACCCAGAAATAAGATACCTCTGCTCCAGTCATTTCTTCATCTGCACAAGCCAGAATGGATTCTGTGCATAAATGTTATCTAAGCCTTGAATTGAAGTGCATTATACTCCGGCAAATACCAGAGTCAACAAGTACATATGCTGGCTTCTTGTCCAGGTGGCAATACCCAATGTAGATTGTCTGAAGAACGGTGGGTCCTACTGTCGCCTGAATTATGAATCCTCACCTACTTTCAGTGTCACAGTTCAAGTCACTGATAGTGGATCACCCGCGAAGACTGCAACTTTTCCGCTCACCATCCAACTAAACAACATCAACGACCAGCCAAGGCAACTGACTATTAGCAATACAATCGTAAGTTGATCTTAGTTCAGTCAATTGATGTCCTTTGCCCATCCTGCACTGGGCTTGATCCCTTCTGGTCCTGTTAACTGGTGTGAAATTCACAATCATTATGGGGATGTACATTGATGTACATTGATGTAGGAAATGAAATGAAATTTCATCTAACTGCAAATGGCATGTACATACGTAATCATAATTTTCCTGATCACGGAGCATGAGAACAGTTGAGTGGGTTCAGTCATGTATGCCATAGTATATGCCCCCCCCCCCCCTCCCAATTGGTGAATATGGTCTGACTCGGGGATACCGCAAGAAGTAATACCCACTACGCCGTTCCTTTGTGCCCTTTTTGGAGGCAATCGTTGGTTCATGACCTGCCAATTGAATGCTTTTTAATCTACAAAGGGTGTATGGATTGTATTTGAATTTGCTGCTCCTGTCTCTTCTTGCAAAGCCATGTGGAGTTTCCAAGAAGCAACACCAGCGGTAGAGTGTGTGTATTAGCATTCTGTGGCACAATCTAAACTAAAAAAAAAGTATGTTTTCCACGTACATGTATGTCTTGAAGTTTGTTTTCTGGCTGTATTTTATCACTGTGCAGGTGAAAGAGAATGATCCAGTTGGTACAGTGGTTGGAGTATTTGCTTACACTGATGAAGACAAAGGACAAACTCATCAAGTTCAACTGGTTGATGATGATAATGGTCAATTCAAACTGAGTGCAGATGGTACAAAGTTGGTGAAGGCCAAGTCTACAGATTATGAAACCAAGACTGTACACAAAGTCACTGTGAAGGTCACGGACAGTGGAAACCCTGCTATGTCTGTAAGTCTCTTCTGTGGGTTTCTAGGATTGGCTGTCTTTCATTGAACGTTTCAGGAAATAGCTAAAACAATTTCCCGTTGCCGTGTCTGTTATTCCTGCAGAACATGTCTCTAACGTTGAAACCGTGTTCTTTGTTGTCTTTTTTATTATCCTTGATTTCTATGAGTACACTGTTTTCCTGCTTGTACTTGTAGGTTCAGCGTGATTTCTACATCAGTGTAACAGACAAGAATGAAGTACCACTGCTTCCCGTCTTCAAGGATACTAACGGACAACAAGTGTTTACAGATGATCATGCTAGTGTGAATGAGCATGCCAAGTATGGCAGTGTTGTTGGCACAATCTATGCATCAGACCCGGTCAGTAACCATCGACCAGTGTGATTTTTCGTTTGGGGCATTCGGGTGTAGTTAATCTTCCAACTGTTCAAACCTAGCTATACGGGGAGTGACATTCAAAAAATGTGGAGTTAAAGTTGAAAATCGTGTTGTGCAACCAAGAATACTGGCAATATTCAAATTGTGGACTGAGACATGGAGCCTGTAATTATGGAAAAGAGCCGAACTTTACTCATCGTTGTGGCCCAGCAATTTATTGCCAAGATTCTAAAGGGTCAGGGCCTATGAGATATACGTTGTGAATTTATGCTAGTATTTGACTCTCTACTGTCTCTGCTATATCCACTGCAGGATTCCAACCAAACACTGAAGCTCACATTGGATGACAATGCACAGGGAAAGTTCTCCATTGCACCAGTGGCTACTTGCACTTTTGTAAGCTATAACCTGCAGCAATAGAATGTGTTCAATACAGGCTTTTCACGGTGTGACACGTTATCATGCTGAAAGGTATCGTGAGTGTTGATACATAAAGCAGAGAGGTACCAGACTGTCCCATAGAGTGCTCAATACCGAAAGGCAGAGGGAAGGAGGGGGAGGGGGGCAGGGGGGAGAGAGTGAGGGAAGGAGATGGATAGGGACAGGGAGAGAGGAAAAGGAAGCTATGGGGTGCTGGCCAGCAGGGGGAGGGATGTGCGAGGATATACATGGGAGATGGAGACGTAGTGTTAGGTCCCCATCTCCCGTTTTTCAACTCACTCCTTTTCCCATGTTGGCCAGCACCCCTTAGCGTCTTGCGTTCCAATATGACACCTTTGTTCAGTTGCCCTGGGCAGCTGCTTGCACGCCCATATTTGCCATACCTACCAAGGCCCTTTCTCGTTCTCTCACTCTCTCTCTCTCTCTCTCTCTCTCTCTCTTTCTTGCCATTAGCATATACCGTACTGGCAATATATGTTGCCGCAGTGAGGCCATGAAGCGTTACATTGGCACATGTTTGCCGCACGCAGGGCGTTACATGCAAAGTCGCACAGGAGCCGTTACACAGGTTTCTATATTGCCGCAGTCCTTTTTTTGCTATTGCCGCATCACTTTTTTGCTATTGCCGCATCTTTTTTTTGCTTTTGCCGCATCATTTTTTCTTTTCATCCACATTGAAGGCACAGAAATTCAGTTGCTATCCAACTGTTACAAACCCGACGGCAAAGGGCGACAACGATATCAATAGAAGACTGTATATTTTAACTATCAGAGTGATCTGTTCACAAAAAGATCATCAAAAGGAAAGTGACATAGGGGAAGAGCGCTTCCTCCAAAAACTACTGTCACTCACACAGTTAATGAGTGTACAACATATTACAAAGTCACCGTGGCTATCATTAGTCATCACTGCTGCTGGACCTCGGGAAAGAAGAAACCATTGAGATCGCCAACCACTGAATGATGCTTGGGCGTGATTTTCTTCACGCCGAAGGCGAATAGAGACTTCTGCATTGTCACAAGGAAACTGGTAAACACATCGCTCTTCTTCGCAAAACGACCTCGGGAAAGAAGAAACCATTGAGATCGCCAACCACTGAGTGATGCGCCTTCGAGTGTCAGGACTTCCTGCTGCGTCCAGTTTTGAACTTTTCACCACCCGGTACACGTGCTTTCACAGTTTTCAGCCTTTTTTTGCAGTGCAAACTGCAATGAAAAGATCGCCGCACCCCGCCGGACGCGCGTTACGAACTCAACGAAAATTTGTCGCACTAGCCTGGCCGCGCGTTACGCCGCACCCCCCCCCCCCCCTGCGTTACGCGTTACGCGGCAACATATATTGCCAGTACGGTAGTCTTTCTTCTTTCTTTCTCTGTATGGAGAGTATGAGTGATGCATGTGAGAATGCTGGGATCAGGAATGCACTGTCCACCCCCCCCCCCCTCCACACACACACAACCATGCCCACTACAGTGGCTGTGTGGGGTGTTTATATGCTACAAACTACCGTCATTGCCCAATGGGCTTATTGGCCTTCATAGTTACATGTTGTGGGCCAGCCGAGGGCACTGTTTGGTACGATAGTATTATGATGAACTGCTTCACCAAGATGTTATGTGTGATGATCAATTCTAATTTAAGTACGGTGTGTTAAAATATTGATAAAGTTGAGTTGAAAATGGGAGAAGTCTGAAGAACAAATTTTGTCACGACCAGGACCTGAAGCTGGGACCCTTGCTTATGGCCAGCGGTACTCTACCATTAAAAAGACTATGGTGTAGTCGTCATGCAAGCAGCGACCGTTCAACTTTGTTTCCCTCTGAATTCAAAAGTATGTAATCAGGCACGCTCAGGAGGTCGTGATGGCTGAATCTTGCTATC